CTTTACTCTTATATGTTTGTAAATTGTGCATTTTTTTGCTTTCAAAATGATTTCATTATGTTGTCCTTATCTTACGGTTAAGGGTATTATGCCTTCAGAAAATCTGCAAGCAATATTTGTAGAATTATCAACAATTTAAAAGCTGTTTATGTGCGGTTAAGCCTAATTTTTAAATAACATGGCGGACATATTTGTTTACATTTGAAACAGCAGAATAGTAGATTTGTTGCAAATCTAGAGAGACTAAGCTTCGCAACAACAAAGATAACGCCTTCAGTTATTATTGCGAATTAAATCCTCTTAATCCTGTCTGGAATATTTCGAGGAAATAAGTGTTTAAGATTTACTTCAAAATTTTTAATATAGATATTTCGAGTTTTTATATATTATTCGCCTTGTCGCGAAGTGAGACCTGAATTAATTGAGTGAGAAATACTGAATCATCTGTGAAAAACTGTTTCTTTTTTGTTTTGTTTGCTTAATTTCTTTTATACATCGTTCTAGATTTATTTTATTATTTGAACAGAACATGTGGCAACGATTAGATAATTCTTCAAATGATATAAATTTTGTGCATTCTGAGTTATAATATGAACGAAATATAATACTGTTAAGTGAGCCTAGCGCCAGAGTGTCGCTATGGTAAACAAATACAGTGAATTTTAAAGTGCATTTATTCTATTGTGGTTTATGCGCTATCGACGAAGTAGATTTAATCTAATCCAATAAGTTTAAATGAAATGCAAGATAAAATGCATATAATTTAATATTCCGTTACAATGAAGTCATGTGGTGCACACATTAGATATTTTAACCTTATGTTTCTAATAATAACTAATGCTCGGTACAACTGTCACTTAACGTAAATATTAAAAAATTAATTAACAATACACTCTGTGGTATAAATTTTAATATAAATAATTACATACAAATTGAAAAACGATTTAAATATTATAAAAGATGCCTTTTCATACTAAAACATTCTTTTTTCTCTTTTAGCATTATTACACTAGTAAATATTTTGCTATTTTGCATTTTTTAGAAACATGTTTTATTATTTTTTATACCTGGGAGATAACGTTGCTTAGTCAGATATTGCAAATCATATTACGGCTGTGTGTTTACGGCAAGGGATGTCTTCGTAGAGAACTTCCTATAGAAAAATCACCCTCAACCTACGTTTTAGAGAATGCCCACACAAGGTCATTCGCCGGGATTCAGCCACTCGGAAAGGGCGGGCTAATTAGGAGACGCTCGGTTATTAATTTAAATGAGGGAAAATTATTGAGCGCTGTTTGACTAAAGCAAGTTATGTCTTATGGAAGGCGCTTTTAAAGGAATACGACTCGTATTCACGTGATGCACATCAAAATACATGTAAATGCCCATGCAGCCAGCCCGACTGCCTGGATTTGAACCCGGAACAATCTACTAGCGTTCAGCAGTAATCGACTCGGAAGGAAATGTATTATTATATAAGAATTACACGGGAATAAATATATGTTCAGAAGATTCTTAAGGGAACATTAACAGAAGATATAAATCATAAGTGATGATATAATACATAAGTGATAATTTCGATGTACAGAAACAGATATTTTCCTTCATGGCTGATTTTTAGTGATGGCTTGTAGCGGGGAAACTAGCAACTGGATTCTAGCCGTCGTGCCCGTTTGAACACATTGTATATTTAGACAAAAGAGTTTTTGATTCTAATTATGACTTAGACATGGCACTGGTCGATTTTCAGTTCGTAGAACCATCTGTGTCGATATGGGTTATTTTGGAAATGACGCAGTTTAGGTATACTTATTATAAGTGGTTACCATTTTTATGATAGAAAGGGGAAATATTCAAATTAAAATAGAGAGTTTGTACAGACATTAGGTAATTTTTGGAAGCAGGAGTGATGAAAAATGATCAACGCATTCGCCGGGAATCGAACCACGGACCTCTGAAATACGCGCCCAGCGGGCAAACCACAACATCACGAAGGCATGCTGAGAAGACGGGAGAAATACCTTATATACTCCCCTTTTAAAGGGCGACTGAGGTTTTTAAGGGACCCAATCGCCAAATCCTGGGTGTGGAGAATCATCATCTTTCACCCATTTAGTTCGGGCGCCACTGTAGAAACACTAGCTTTTTTTGGGGGGGATCAGGAGTGATGAAAAATGAGCAAGCCTTGGCCGGAAATCGAACTACGGACCTCTGCAATACGCGCCCAGCGTGCAGACCACCACACCACGATGGCATGCTAAGAAGGCGGGAGAAATACCTTATAAGTTAAGAGCTTATTTCAAATTAAAATTAGAATTTTTCTCAACATACCTTTTATCTTATTATATATATATATTTATACTTCCACTTCATTTTTTTTTATTAAAATTGAGTTTTTCCATTTTTCACTGGTATTACCATGTTTATTTTTATAATTTTAACAAAAGCAAAATAATTTTTAATGTTTACGTTCAGTATCATTATTTTATATTTTTTGCTCAATATCTTTTGCCTGTTTAGTTACAATTATTTTTACTTTACATTATTTTAAAATCTTGTGAATATGTCATCAGTGGCGTTGCTAGGGTGGGACAAGGAGAGATATCTGACCCCTGAGATATCTCACTCCAGAGGGTGTCAAATTGATGTTACGAAATTTTAGAATGAAATTATTTCCAATATCTTAGCACACAGAAAGGGGCGCAAAATCTTCGGTTATCCCCGGACGCTGAAAAGCCCAGCTACGACTCTGTATATCAGAAGTCAGTATGAAAAAATGAAGAAGAATACTGTTCAAAATATTTACTTTTACCTTCGTTATGATGGCTTACAGTGATCTTTTATTTCCTTGATTACTTCTTTCAATTTAGTCATATGATAATTATCAATTTAATTCGTTAATTTTTTATTGATCTATTTATAGTTAATGTAAATTATCATTATGCTTCATGTACCTCGGCGTACACTGACTGCATCAAGCGTGTGCCTTATCTCAAATATAAACATTTAATGACCTTGACCGATAGAAAAGACACTACCGTCTCCCAAAAAACCCGCACTGTCAAGGATATTTACGATTCATTTTCCCCCCAAATTGCCCGGAACCATTTCAGCGGCTTTTTCAACCTCCTGATATCGTTTCTGTGCATTCTTACACATTTACTTTCTGGTATCGTTCGAGTGCATTCTCCAATAATGACTATTAAATTTGTTTAGTATTTAATGAATAAAATTTCAAACCTTAATTTTTTAATTTTAAATTAATTGTATTTCGAAAAAAATTTTAAAGGCTAATTATCGGTTTGAGTTTTTAAGTATGCTGACTAAACAACAATCGCTAAGCACTCGATATGTCTTCATAGAGGACCTTCTAAGGAAAACTAGCTCACAAGGCGAAAGAAATCATTTTTCTGGTTACACATGGCGAAAGGCATAAAAACAACTATAGTTTCTTGAATGAGAGTAAGCAAGAAATCTATTGGGTTCTACAAGAAATATCATGATACCAAAACTTAAAATAATTAAACTTTTGACTAGAATAAAACGTAAACAGAATCTTGGAAAAAAAGGAATTTGGAATAAATTTGCAGAAGTTTAATACAGATATGCCATATAAGCCGAAGTAATTTTTCTTAATTTATAATAACGAATTAAATTTATTTTTAAAGGCACAAATGAATTAAATTTTTTTGTGTGTACAAGACTAAAATTCGTTTTGATATTGCATAGGAAAGATATTCTTTATATTATGTAATTTATTAGCTTCAAATATAGCAAAGTTTGAGAAAACTCTTAGTTTCTATACTCATTCGATTAAATTACATTTAAATTAATACTTTGTATAGATACAAGAAACCATAGAAATTCATTCTCTGTTTAAAATCATTAATTATCAATTTACTATTTATGTGGAGACACTAAAATAATATAGATTATAACATCTTTAATGCGCGTATTTCCCGACAGAGACGAATATATATATCAAGACTGGTTTAAAGAGCAATCAGATATAGGTCCTTCTTCTTAAGGAGAAAAGACAAATGTTTAAGGAAAAAAGGCTTCCCCCCTCCCCTTTTTTTTTCCTGAAGAAAAGATAGATCTTCATCTGATCGATCTCGAAATTCGCAGAGCTATATGGAAAATCAACGCTAGGTTCAAGCTTTTTTTTTTAGTCCAAAGGGATTTGAATCCCGAAGGACTATTAGTTTCGTTTTGACATTTTGCGTCGGACTCATAAATGTCGGTTCACTTTTCAAACTGTTGCCACAAAATGTTAGAGTCCTGCATTATATTTGAAGAAATTAAATAATGAAAAATCTGCATAAATGTATGTATATTTCTCGTATTGTGATAAAACAACGGTACATAGAGTCATCGAATTTTGAACATAACGTAATCCTCCAACGAATATGAGCATGTGGAAGACCAAATTTGAAATTTGAAATTTGTTTTATGATCGATTTCCTATTTTTTAAAACTTTGACGAATTTTTAATTAACAAACTTAAGGATTTCAAAGCGAGCAATGGCAACGTTGTGCAGAAAAAACATTTTTATCTCCAGCGCGTGAGTCTCTGTATCAGAAATTCTAAAGATATGCTCGTTTTAAAACTATTTTGCGATATTGCTGTTGCACTGGATCTTATGGTTTAAGTGCGAGGAACATGATATTTAATAAAGAAAGGTAACACACAAAATGTTAAAAAACGCCCCTTTGGTAATTTAAAATCTGAAACATTTCAGATTTTTTTTTTTTTTTTTTTGCCTAATTTAAAATTTTACATCGACATGTCTTCCAATTACATTTATCAGTTTAAGCAATGAAATGCATTTCATGCCGATGTTATCTACAATGAACATTATTAGAATCTTAATACATTGTCGACGGATTTTACTCTAAATGATTTTCTTGGTAAATAATCATGTTTGCAATTTTCTATGACAGTTGCAATTAATTATACGAAAACTGGGGGGTGGAGGAAAACTAATGTCTGCACTTACATGCTCCTGCAGAGTGTATCCAATAGTCACGGCATCCATCAACACCCAGTTCCACCATATCGTCTTCGCTTCCACCAAATTTCGTAATCCATGATTATTTTATAGATGAGACCCGTTTTTTATATATGTCAACATTTTCTTCTTGTTCACAAGTCACCCGCAAAACTCTCAACTGCATCCGAATATGCCTCACACCAAACTGATTATAACTTCAAACGCGGCCAGGCACAGAGTCTTGATGATGGGCTGCAAAGTAGGTTAACGGCGGAAAAAGGAATATTAAAAGAAAAAGAAAAAAAAGTGTTCCATCTCCCCACGTGACGTAACAACAGAAAGAAGCGGTTTGGCTCGAGGCGGTTTACCTACATTGAGCGGCAAAGTGACTGTTATCTTCGGACTTTCATCGCCAAAAGCGGTCGCCAAGTAGCTCGTTACTGTTCGGTTTGTTTGGTCTGCACGAATTAGAATGCTGGATCGTTCATTAATTACATACATAAATGAGAACAGACATAGAAAGGATTATTGAGGTCCTGCGGCGTGAAAATACATCTGAATGCAATGGAAAACAATCATTTATTTAGGTCTGCGATGACTAGATTTCATTGACACAAAAGCCCTAACAATAAACATGTTGTGTCTTAGGGATTCTTTTACTGTCTCTTTTTCCAGAGTTGGGCAGTCAAGCAAGATGAAGATGTTATACAAATGAATGACACATCGTGCTAGGAGCGTAAATGTATTCTCTTTGTGATTTCGTAAAACAGAAGGTATGGAATAAAGAAAAGATCTTGCAGCTCAGAAAGAGTGTATGATAAAATTAGGACAGTTTCAAAACTGTTACGAAGAAACCTATTGTATTCGGATACATTCTAATTATTTATTAGAATATATCTAGTAAAAATTATAACTAGTACATCAAAATTAAAAAAAAAAAAAAAAAAAAAATGCCTAGCTTGGACTTTCGACTTTTTTCCTAACATGTTCTAACATATGTGGAATCATATCATATGTAAGAATAAAAAGCTACGCACAGCTTATTGTCCTTGCCTTTAAATCCACAACAGTATTAGAACTTTACAAGCGTAAATCTAAATTAAAAATTTATTCACCGCGAACTTTTAATTTCGGCTAAAATTGAATAGATTCAGCTATCGTTTCTTGCTTCAGCTCTTGGAATACAACAAAATTGAACATGTACAACGCAAATAGTAGATTTAAAGTCAACCAGAATCCTAAAATATGCTCGATTTCTTAGCCTAAATACTAGCAATAACCAGAAAGACTAAAGTACAGTCTGTTGCTTTAGAACAGACATTTTAACGATTCTCTGCCAAACCATGATTCATAACCATGGCAATGATTCTTGCAGTAAAATAATTCGAATCGTCTAATGTGCTAAAATCCCATTATTCCTTTGTGCGATGATGAGATCAGAGATGATTTCTGAGGAGCTAAGTCTCGTACAGTCTCAATATATTATCAATTTCTAAATTTTCGTAAACCAAATGCTTAGAAAATTTGGCAATGCTGGAGTGGACTGCATTGCCGAAGAAATTAGAATTAATTTTGTTTAAATATTCACTCACAGTTTGTCCCTATGGATATTATTGTTGTGATAAACAATAGAGAGTTGTAAATGATACGCAAGATTTAATTCTGGAAGCAATTTGGAAAGCTCCTGATATCTTAAAAAAAAGTGCACCTTTCCGGGACGCATATTTCACAAGTGCACATCTGTCTAGCCCCCGAGGGAGTGGCTTCTAGGATGGACCAATGAGCATCAAGTAATATTTCTGTCATGCCACATGACCTCCGCGTGCTTTACGATTTAAGCAAGATGGTTGAAAGTATTCTGCTACGCAGTTTTCTGTACAAAATAATTAAAGCATCGTCGATTGCTTCTGAAACTTTTCATTGCGAAGTTAGATCAAATATATGAAGATTTCACTACCTGGTTGAAATAAATATAAACACATGTTGGATACTTCGCAAAAATATCGATGTGAAATATTACTTAATAAGTAGTAAATAAGATGAAGAAAGAAATATGTGATAAACATCTGAGCCCAGATGCAATCTTTACATAAAACTATGCGTATGAGAAAAATATTTACACCAATTATATATGTAAATAGAAATCAACCCTTTTTATTGCAGTCTATATGAAAAAGATGTTCTATAATAATAACCAATGCAGAATTTTATTCAAAGTGAACATTACTAATTTGCATTCGTATACATTTAGTGCGTTAAATTTCACATTTAATAAATGCTCACTCTTAAATGTACTGTCTACACAAGAAATACTCATCAAACAGAGTGAATTTATCGTATTCACAACGAGTATATTCAATTTATTCACATATAATTTTTAATGTTAACAATGGATATAATCAGATCATATGTATTCTGAATCTTACACTTTAAAAATCAAAAGAATGCAAACACTGAAATAAGAAAACACTAGATTCATTGTAACACTTTCAGTCATTCTCAGCTCAATTTAAAAAAATAATATACTTGAATTCTCTTAATCCACATAATATGCAGTGAACATCAATACTAATATTAATGCGTCATAAAAATCGCGAAAGTGAAATGTCAGTGATAGAAAACGAAAGCACTACGAGATTTTCTACTATTACGCCATTGTAGTTATAAATTTATAACTACGAAAGAAATGCAATTTAAAACGTAAACAACATAAGCTCACATGCATGAAGATTTAGCGTCATAAGAGCAATAGCAGCTCATTGGTCCATTTCCGAAACCCCTCCCTCAGTGGCTACGCTGATGTGCATTTGTGAAATATGCTTCCGGGACAGAGTAAATATAAGTCGAATCACACACAAATGTAACCTTCTTTTCCTTCGGATGTCCAGAATGGCGTCCAAAGAAAGGAAGAAGCTCAATGACAAACCGACAGATTTACTAAAGACAGAAGAGATGAGCTTATTCCAAAGGACAGTGGAATACATTCTGACTCTAAGATAATGAACTGTTGAAACAGTGGGACATTCTGACTGGAGAATTTATGCATCGTACGGTGCCACGTGATGATGAGGAGTTTGAACTTCTCAGCATCTCCTAAAGTTTACACTATGTCTCCATGGGCCATGGCATGCACAATGTCTCCAGGGTCTTAATTTTCATTAAAGCCCAATCCTTTCTTCATCGAGTAATGATCACCGTATTATCGGCGTAGTAGGAGGCAGTGGCGTAGCTAGGGTGGGGCAAGGGGGACATTTGCCCCCGGGCGCAGCATCCAGGGGGCGTCAAACTGATGGTGCGAAATCTTAGAGTAAAGTGTTTTCCATTTGTGGCAAACAGAAAGGGGCGCAAAATTTCCAGTTGTCCCCGGGCGCTGAAAACCCTAGCTACGCCTCTGGTAGGAGGCTATGCAGTTACTACCGCCCTAGAAAAATGGAACGACATGCACATAATTCAGATGTCAGAGGTTCCTGAATGGAGGCCTAGGGGATTCCAGTTAGCATAGATTCAGGATTAGAAAAAAAGAGTCAGCTATTCTCACACGGGATGTCCTATCAATAAAGAAGGAGTATAATCTTAATTATGTTAAATAAAAAAAAATAAACTTCTTTTGGAGATTCAGGGCAAATTGGAAAGCTAACAAGAAACTAATGTTCTCCAAAAAATATTTAAAAAAAGTTAAGCATGTTATGAGTGAATAAATATGCTCAAACACTCATTTATTTTATCATTTATCACCATAAAATAAACACCAATCTTTTACGAAAAGTTAAAAATTCATTAATATATATTCACATAAACACTTATAGGCTTCACATAGCTATATTACGATTGAGTGGAACTGAAAGAAATGAAATAATAATAATAATTACAATATGCCGCCCAACCGGTGTAGTGGTTAATGTTGCGGACTGCCATGCCGAAGGGTACGAGTTCGAATCCCGGAGAAGGCATAGATGTTTGTAAATGTATAGTGTCTGTGTGGCATGGAAGCACTCTAAATATGCGACGAGCCGAAAGTTCTCTAGAAAGGTTGTTGGTAGAGAAAAAGGGACAACAACAATATAACTCTAATATATAGCAAGTTATTGTAATAATTGCAAAGTAACATTCTGCCGCTAGCACTGAGGCGAGTTGAGATGATTTTGAGTACCCACTTAATATGCATCGCATATGATATTGGTCGTCTCCGCCTGAATATTTAGTCAATTCAGCATGCATGATAACCGTTAGAGTGCCAAGGCCTTCACTCATCTGTTTCTCTAAAAAACCGAAACGTCTGAAATTCCATTTGAGATTAACAATAATTTCTTCCCCCCCTATCGTTCTTTAATGAACAAAAAGAGATGTAAATGTTTCAAATGGTATCGTTTCTAGTTCCTGAAAAAAGAGCTTTCCTCCTTGAGTATATACTACGAGTTTAACCTAAAAATAAGAAACCATAAAAGAATCCCGTTAGAACAAGACTATCAATATTAAAGAACTGATACAATGCACTTGGGAAAACTGCACCTTAGCTTATCGAGTACTTTAGGGGGATTCATAGATTAGCTCCAGCAAATGGATGAGAACAATTTGTAATATTGAATGAACATTGATTTCAGTTTTTATACGTAATAACTTTTTTTTTTGTGTTAAACTGTAACTAGAAAGCCTGGCGGTCATACGAAATGACCGCTGTTCTAGATATTATATATTGTAATTAAAATGATTTGTGCAAACGTATCTGCTAATTCAAACTGAATTACCCAGGGCAGGGGCGAGGACGCCTCACTGCTTACTGCCCCACGGGGTTTCCCTCTTCTACTTGCTTAATTGCTTAAAGTAGAATGCAATGAAGGAACCCACTGGCGGTACATTTCTTAAGAGCCACCGCTATCTCAATAAATAAAGGTAATTTAAATAGTAAAATGTTAATTCACATGCCAAAGTTGACCGTGTCCAAATGCAGGCTCAGGTAAAAAAACGCCAACACGCTTAAGCGTTCGGCCCTGAGACTTATGGATGGTCATAACAAAGGCAAATTTTACAGGAAATTGTCTACGTCGCAATTGAAACGGCAACTTCACCCCATTGGCTAGTACAGTTACGCAAGCAACGAATAAATTATCAGCGACAAATATACACTTAAGTCGCATATAATAAAGATATTTATTTATTTCATTTTATTTGTTTTTTCATCGTTGCCGGTTTTTGCCGGTGCATATTTTCGAATTCTATTATATATAGATGTTAAATTTATTTATTAAATGTCAAATGCACG